GACCGAATGGGTTCTCCATGAGTTATGGCTGAAACCTCCTGATCATCTCAGCCTTGAAAGTCTCCCACTTTTGCTGCTCCGTATTTTCCTCCCACCATTGGTACCAATTCAGTGCTTTATCCTCCATCGCGATGACCACCACCTCCATCTTCTCCTCGCCGGACACCTGGTTGAGCTTGAAAAACCTCTCAACCTTGATAATCCACCCGCGTGCATCATTTCCGTTAAACAACAGTAGATCGACCTTCCGCCTAGTTCGTACTTCTCTCTAAGTCATCGCATTATCCTGATTACTAGGCCTGGGACCAGTTCGGTTCTTACTCAAAATAGGTGGAACCGTTACACAAATTTTAACTAATGAAATCGGTTCGGTTCTTGTGTAAAAAATCAAGAACCGTTATGGAACCGAACCAATACTAAACGGTTCAGTTCTTACTTTTATCGGTTCCTAGAATAATTTTTTCCTCATCTAATAAATGGGCACATTATTTGCTTTCTACCACATTAAAATGTTAAAAAGAAAATCAAACACAAGTATTAAAATTTTATTTAAAGTTCTAATAACTTCAAACATCAAAGCTCAAACTTAATCAAGTGAACACTTGATAGAATAAAAGAAAGTTTCAATTTTCATTTAATAAGTAGAACATAAAAATCTTAGTTACGATAGGAAGATTGTTCATCATCACAGTAGCAAGATATGACGTCCACTCCAAGTATTTCAAAACTTTAAAAATTAAAAAATATATTGAGTTTGCATCTATAGTTATAGAATTATCATTGCAGTCTATTTGCTAGTAGTATAATTTACAATAAATCTAATAGTTACAAATATCATGAAGATAGTGAAGTAAAATATATGCAATCAACTACAAGTTATTTGAGTTATTTTATATTTATAAAATATATGTGATTTAACAAAACTTGATTTTGTAAAAAATGAGCTTAACGTATTCAATCTCTTGTGCAATATTGATTACTTTTGTTTTCGTTGGTTAAATTAGAATTGTTGGCTAAATATCATTGATTGTACTATTATTGTTATTGTTGATATTATTGTTATTACTATCACTACTATTTTTTTTTTTAATAACGGTTCCATAACGGTTCCGTGCACATATTTTTATAAGAACCAGGGACCGAACCGTTAATAACAACTAGAAACCGAACCGTTAACAACTAATACCACATTTGTAGGAACCGAACCGAACCGGGTTATAACGGTTCGGTTCCAACCGGTTCTACGGTTCCCGGTTCCAAAATCCCACCCCTACTGATTACTGGAATAGTCAGAGGTTGACTTGTGTTACCTTCCGAACCCGAGGAGTTCACGCTCTCTAACTGTCGCCGACGTCTGGAGGTCCATGATCTGCCTCTAGTTTGCCAGCATTCCTGTTGATTTATGAAACTCATCCTCGCGTCGCATTTCATTCAATCGCTCCAGGTGCTCAATCGATTCTCCATCTGCAATTGAGTGACGGACATCCACAGTCCAATGATTGTCGCTCTGATACCAATGATAAGTACAAACATCACCCCACACAAATATTATATATATTGATCACTGAAAGTAAGGATTACAGTAACGATGGTGTACGTAAGTAATGACAGAAGGAAATGCAGGAAGAAAATACAGATTGAGACCAATTCGAGAGGGTATCTCTCTCCCACACCAGATTCAGCCAAAATCCAGACTGGCCTCCTCTCTCTTTTCGGTTACTGTTTATGTATACTCTTCCTTCAGCCATACTGACACGGTGACACCTCATCAGTAGTTAGTTATGCCTCCACTCTTTTTTTCTGCTAGCATATTCCCTCTCTTACCCCTACGGGTGTAAACTTTAGAAAAATTCCGATTGGGATGAATTTGTTACATGGCTGAGCTCGTATCAAAGTGGTTAGATTTATGAGAAATAAATTAAAACATGTTTGGATATGTAATGTTAATATTTTTATGAATAAATGACATATATGACTAAATTAAAATGGACTAAAATATGTCTTTGAATATGCATTGACCATAATGGTACTCCCTCCGTCCCAATTTGTTTTGCAAAATTTTCTTTTTTGGCTGTCCCAAAATGAATTTTCACTTCCATTTTAAGTATAGAAATATGACTGAAGTGACAAGTTTACCTTCCTTAGCCCTTTAATCTTCCGCACCACCCATCCATAACTTCGACCCACCTTCTCTTATCACTATCACCCATCACTTCCACCCACCTTCTCTACCCATATTCCCATAGAAAGCACAACCATCTTTGTAATTGGAATCTCACATCTTTTCCACGGCCAGATTCTCTTCCTTTCCCTTGCTAGCTTGGTCCTATCAGCTCTGGCCCCGCTTGAAAATCCTTAGATCCGACGCGTTTAGTTAACCGAGTTCATCGCAGATGAGTCCCTGCCACGCCGCCGCCCTTGAAGAACCTCACAGATGAGTCACCGTCGCCCTCGTCGAACCAAATACTTTCTTCGCGGGTCAGAACCATTGAAGCGGCGGACGGCGGTCAGTCGATTGGAGGCTTGATGTATCTGTCAAAGATGTTGGAGATGCTCTCTGACTCCAACGACCAGCTCTAGCCATTAGCGTTCCCCTGTTTCACTTTTTTTCTTATAAGCCATGTAGAAGAAGGATTCACAGTACATCATATTGTCTGAGAAAAGTTGTACGTGCTTTAAAATTTTTAGTTTTCCAATTTTTGGGCTTGTTCTCTACGTCGTGCGAGAAAGTGCAAAATGGGAAAGTAAATGCCGATTTCTATTCTTTCTTAATCCTCGTGCCGGTCAAAGTTTGCAATTCAATTCGGGACGGAGGGAGTATTTTTCAATGGTTGTAGTGACCACATTGTTGTGTAGTTGTATATTGCAGTGACATGGTTTTGTTGTTGTGAACATGGAGTCAAAATTTTGTTCATGAGCTCTATTTTTGTAATATTATACAAAAAATCCTATTTGATAGCTTATTGTTGTTCTTCTTCTTCATCATTACCCCAGTGCTGCAAAGGCTCCCACCTACGGTGGGGTAAGGGGGGTTGGATGTACGTAGCCTTACCCTTGTAGTAAAGAGTCTTACCCCTGTACTAAAACACATAGAGACTGTTTCCGGATGACCCATGGTGAACATGAAAAATGTTGCTAGAATGTCTTTGTATGGTGAACATACAAAGAAACCCGCCAATTTCACCTTTGAAAATTGCATGGACTGATTGCTCTTTCATAACAAAGAAGCGCACACAATTCAATGAGCCATTTTTCTTTATTTCATCATATTCCCAAGCCAAAAAATAGTGAATCATTGGCTCCATTGAAAATGATGGATTTTTTTTTGATAGCTTATTGTTAAATTTTAAATATGAAAATCATATCTAACATTCAATTTTGCATCATTCTGTATAGTAGATAATGTTTTCATTTATAAGGGATTTTCTGCATTACAAGGAGGCCTGAGTAAATTTAATTACAATTTTATACAGTAATATTTAGTAAAGTTCTAGTCATTAAATCATTAAATATACATACATGAAAAATGCATTAAATGCTCAATCGAACTGCATAGTTGAATTTGAATATGATAAAAATTTGCTAGTTGCAAACTAGCAAAGTAGCAATTAATGGTCTGTTTGGAGGATCTTAGATGAATCCAGCTGCTGAGGTTCATATATAAAAATGTGTTTGGATATTTATTAGGTTAACCTAGGTGAATGGAGTAAAATTTTGTTTTTGATGGTGGTTCACCTAGTGCACGTGTTAAATTACTTATACAGAGAACTTAATCTCTAATTCGGATGTTTTGTGAAACTGAACTCTTGGAGTTTTTTACGGTTGTTCGAAGTAAACTATTTCATATTTAAACCTAGGTTGTTGTCATAAAATGGTAAAAAACGAGGCGAACATAGATTTGAACATTGAAGAACTAGGTTAATGTCGAAACAAACATACTATTAAAATAAGCGAAAAACAAATGTTGGTTTAATCTCATGAATGGTCAAGGGCATAAGTAAATTGGGATAGAGAGATCATCATCATCATCACCCCAGTGCCGCAAAGGCTCTTACATTCGGTCGGGTAAGGGGTGGTTGGATGGACGCAGTCTTACCCCTGTATGTACTACAGAGAGACTGTTTCCGGATGACCCATAGGCCATAGTGAAAATTGCGTCGAAAATTGCATGAACTGACTGTTGCTTCATTGCAAGTGGTGGAAATATTGAGAGAACTGGGATTAATTCAAATATAAAAATTTGTGAAAAAGAATTTTTTCAGAAATAAACCAGACTTTTGAGAAATTTCTAGCTTTTGTAATGTGACATCTTGCTATTTGTGCAACTTATTTTTCTACCTATACAACACATCTCCCTCATGTTTGTTTGAATGGGTATGGGAGTGTAACAAATGGATGTGTAGGTACGTAAACAATGAAAATGGAGGGTAAGGGAAGATACTGAGGAAGGCAAGTGTAAGTAACTACCTTACTGGAAGAACATGACGCAGATGATGAGGGTGGAGGATGTGATAGAGGGTGGTGGTAGAGAGTGGAAGATTCAACATTTTTTTTATTTGATCTCAATTCACCTCCACTACACTGCAAACAGAGCATAAGCAAATCAAGAGAAATGATGTGTAGGAATGTGGAATATGTACACTCGCATTTCTCTCACGTCCTTTTATTTTTCTTTTCTCTCCCAAGCAGGGGTAATCCTTTACAGTTTACTCCTCACATTTCAATTACTTACGCCTCCTTACACCAAAGCACCCCATAAAAAAATACACGCTATCCAAAGAAGCTTTAAGTTTCATATTCATTATATAGATAAGTATTGATAGTATGGTTCAGTAAAAGGAAAGTTAACTATGCCCACCAAGTGTTATTGCAGTAGTGGCTTAATTTTTTCAGGGTTAAAGCTAAACTACTCCAGTGTGCGGGTGTGTGTGGTATTGATATTAATTTCAGCTGGGAGTAAATCATTTAGTATATAATTGGTCTTGCAAATACATTTGCAGAGGTTTATGCTACAACCTGGCACACCATCTACGAAAGTTTTGTGCTTAACTCAGATGGTAGCTGAAGATGAGCTCAAAGAAGACGAGGATTACAAAGATATATTGGAAGACATTAATATGGAGTGTGGGAAGTTTGGTATGTGAAGTCTCTTCTTGGTAGTAATGTTATTTCTTTTATCAATGTGTCTATTGTGAAATCATACTTCTCGTTGATGCTTTTTTCCATTAATGCCTTTTTATCTTTGTCCGACATCTATATTAGATATCGAAAGTATATTAGGTCCTCGCATAACCCCGTTTCTCTCTATTTTTTTCATGATGTATTTATCCCATGCCTGATGTGTTGATCTTGGCCTTGATGATGTCATTCTGCAGGTAATTTGGTCAATGTTATTATTCCCCGCCCAAACCCAAATGGCGACCCTACACCAGGAGTTGGAAAGGTAAATTTATGTACTGAATGATTATCGATTCATCTAGTTATTGGAAGAAATCTCCGTCAAGGATTTACAATCATGTCAACCTTTCAATTTTTTCTACGCTCATGATTTCGTCATGACTGTCATCTTTTCAATTCATTAATGAGAAGATTATTTTGATATGCAGTTCACCTGGTATATCTAAATCCAGCTTCTTAATGAATACTGTGGAATTTGCTTTATCTTCTCCTTATCTGTACTTGTAGGTGTTTTTGGAGTATGCAGATGTTGACAGTTCAACGAATGCTCGGCAAAGACTCAACGGCAGAAAATTTGGTGGCAATGAAGTGGTGGCGATCTTCTATCCAGAGAACAAGTTCTATCAGGGAGAGTTCGATGGCTAGTTTTTACATGAGCTTGGTGGGGGTAGTCACACTCTACTACTATTGGCCAGACGAACTCTATTGTCTTTGGCAAAACCTGTGGCCTTGTAATCTTTTTATCTACTGAACCTGAGACTGGCCTTTCTCCACCACATCGCCGGGCTCGCCCTTCAAATGGTGGGACTAGGCAATGTCAGGCTTTAGTTTTAATGCTTTCTAATCTCTGCTTCCCATCTCCAGTAATCTGTAATGTAAGAAGATTCCCAGGCTAATTTGCACCTGTTACTGGATTTTTGCCTCTCTGAATATGTATTGTATGACAATAATATGAAATCTGTAGAAATGAATTGCATTTGTAATCACTGCTTATTACAAGTTTACAACGGCTGGATCACCTGGATATTTTTAAGAACAGCTGTAAGTCTGTAGTCCTTGCTTGCTGCATGTCATCGTGGTGTCTCAACTCGCTGCATGTCTTCTGCTGTTGCTAGGGATGGACTGGGCTAGGGGTGGATTCGGTTCGGGCCACCCGGCCCGTGACCCGGCCTGGCCCGGTACTGTGCGGGCCCGGGACCGGCCCTGTCGGGCGGTCCGGGACCGGGTGTGGACCCGAACCGGTGGGAATGGGCGGGGCGGGCACGATTCCGGATAAATGTGACCCGGCCCGGGTCCGGTCTGATTTTTAATTTTTTTTTTTTAAAATTGGGCTACTAGCTGTTGGGGGTGGGTGGGGACAACCCAAACGGCTATATAGCCGTTGGGTGGGGTGCAGGGGGGTTTGGGGGGGTTCGGGGGGGTGGGGTGGTGGGGGGGGGGTGAGGGGTAAAAAAACCTATAAATACTCTTAATCTTAAATATTTTTTCATCTCTTCTCCAATTCTTCCTAAATCCTATTCTTAACTCTCTACTCTCTAATTCTCTTATTCTCCAATATATTATATTTATTATTTATATATCTACTTTATAGTTTATACTTAAGATAAGGGTGGACTCGGGTCCGGGCCGGGTCCGGGTCGGCGTAGGCTCGGGCGGGCCGGCGGTTCAAGAATGCTGGACCCGGGACCGGCCCAGGTAGCCACCGGGTCCGGTCCGGGCCGGGCCGGGCCTCCGGTTTGGATTTTTTTTTTTTGCTTTCCTAACCCACCCCCCTCACCCCCACCCTCCCAAACCCCCCAAACCCATCCTACCCATCAAGCCCAACCCGGGTGGAACCCCAAAAATGAAAAAATAAATAAAAAAAATTCAATTTGGCCTGGGCCCGGGCCCGACTCGGCCGGGCCGGTTCACCAAAATTGAGACCCGAGCCCGGACCCGCCCTACCAAAGTTGAGTGGGGGTGATGCTAAGTTCTTGAGTTCTACGTTGGGCTTTCAATCAATCATGATAGCAAATGAGCGTCTCAAGAGAGTTTGTGCTCAATCTCGTTCTATAATCTGTTAGAACGTTGCCGGCCACACTATCCCGAAACCCCAATCTAGGGATGGACTCGGGCTGGTCCGGTTCCGGGCCGGGCCCGAATGGGCTTTTTTTGCAAATACTTGGGCCCGGAACCGGCCCGGGTTGATACCGGGTCCGGGTAATCGGGCCGGGCTGGGCCCGGTTCAATGTCTAATTTTTTTTGCTTTCTTATTATCCCCAGACCCCCACCCCCAAACCTCCCTAAAACACCCAGCCCTACCCTAGGAAAAGAAAAAAAATTGAAAAAAAAAATATGACCCGGACTCGGCCCAAACCGCTCGGGCCGGTTCGCCCAAAACTGGGCCCGAGCCCGGCCCGCCCGACCCTCCCAAACGGGCTAAAAGCCCGGAACCGGCCAACCGGTCCCGGTCCGGTCTGGGCCCGCACAGTAGTGGTTCCGGGCCGGTTCCGGGCCGGGCCGACCCGATTTAGTCCATCCTTACCCCAATCCCGCCCAATCTCGGCCCGAGGCCCGGCTCGGACCCGGTCCCTGCCTAGCTGTTGCTGCATCAAGGTCATGGTGTCTAAATGATGCCATAAACTCCACACCACGTTGTAGATCAGCTCATCTAACCCAAACCCATAAAGAGAAGTTGACTTATCTGAAGTAAAACAGGCATCTCTCGAAGTCTCGAGACCAAATTTGTCTCGGTTGTCCCCATTAGGATGGACTGAGCCCGGACAGCCCGATTGGGACCGGTACTGTTTAGGCCTGGCTCGGCCTGGTTTTTCGGCCCCGATACCGGCTTGGGACTAGTATCATGGGTAGAATGGGATGGGCTTCGGGCTCGGTCTGGGCCTAACGGCTATTTTTTTTAATTTTTTTGTTTCACTAGTATAGTTCCTGTGCGATGCATGAGAAAAAAGTACTTTGTAGTTTACTACTCTGTATGATATATGTACTTATTGAAATATTAATTTATGATATAACGCTTGTTACGTGATGTTGAAATTGACTGAATCAATTGATTCATTTGAAATTGATAGAATTCTTGTTGAAGTTGTAAAATTCGCTAAACCGTTGAATTATGAAAAAATATGTATGAAATATACGTATTATCTTAAAGAAATACAGAAAAATTTACAAAAATAGTTAAGCTAATGTTTTGAAGTAACTTCAACCATTTCAATCAGTAATTCAAAACATACTTTTTTTACTATTACACAAATTAACGTACATATTAAAAAAGTTGACTGATAAGATGAAACTTGCGGCTACCAAATAGGCTCATACTTTCCCGAAGCTAATACAGAGTAGTATTAAATGCAATATGAAAAAGAACTATTTATAAATTGTTGTTGGGATATTGATCCAGAGGCCCAATACCCGGATAAAAAAGGCCCAGGATACCGGCCCAAACAACGGGTCCATTGCTCTATGATGAGCAGGCCCAGTAAAGAATCCATACCGAACGGGGTTCAGACCATATAACATACTTGGGTCAAATTGATAGCGTCATCCGCAAGGTCCAGCATCCCGTTCGAGCAACGGGCAATCAGCAAGTGACCAGGTGCAATTAATATCAGATTGTGACATCAGCAAGTGGAAGCATGGGTGATCAAGTCAGTGGAGCAACGACCAATCAGCATAGAGCAGCCCATGCTCTCCATTAGTATAAATAGAAGGTTTAAAATCATTGTAAGGGTTAACATTTCAATACTCAAGCTCTAGAATAACATTATTACTTTTGTTTCCTCTATTAAAGCACTGTTCCGACCTACCGATCGGGAAGTTTTCCTTGTAATCAGACAAGTTAATTAATACAAGTGGGCTTTTGGGTATTAGTGGATTCATCTTTTATATTTTGTTATACACTTTGATTCTGGCCCATTCCTGATATATCCAAAGTTTGTGTTGGGCTTTCGGATCTACGGGACTTACCATCAACATTGGCGCCGTCTGTGGGAAACATTCAAAAAGTTTCACATTCAATTATTTCAAAACAACTATTTTTGAAAATGGTCAGAATCAGTTCTTATCACACAAACGTTGGTTCGCGCCGTCACGGAAGGAGTCACACCCCGGGAAATCAAACCCCTCAGGGACAATCCAGCCGAGGATCATATCCTCATTTTGATGGGGACTTTGTAATTCCTGAAGCTCTAAGGAGGAATCCTCAGGTCATGCGAGATATGGCCCAGGTCATGCAACACATGGCAAACGAGGAAGAAGGAGGATCCAATTTTACAGGGGAAACTCCACACACAGAAACGACCACGGCGTCATCCCGCTCGCGGGCCCATCGCGATAATCACCGTGGCGCTCCATCAACAACGCATCATACTCCCAGTGACCGGACCCCGATCGGGTCACAAGCCAGGGGACGTACTCCTATTGGTCGTCATTTCCAGCATGACGAACGGAATAATACTAGGGCCGCTCAAAGGCATTGGGATCGGGAGTATACAGATTTGAGGGCTCCACCACCGCCCCATTTGACGGCCCAGGAGGAAGAAATGGCTGAAATGAGGAGGCAAATGAACGAGATGAGAGATCAGATGAATAGGGCGCCCGTACAGCCTGTCCCAATTCAGCTCGGGATTACTTCCCCTTTCACAAGGGAAATTATGTATGCGGATATCCAGGGAGGTGCCAAACCACCGGCCGGTCAAATTTATGACGGAGTGGGAGATCCCCATGTGCATTTAAGGAGTTATCAAGGAGGACTCATGCTACTAAGAGCACCTGAGGCTGCTATATGCCGGTTGTTTTTCAGTACGCTCAGAGGACCCGCCCAGGAGTGGTTTGGGACCCTGCAACCCGGGTCGATCAACAGTTTCGCCGAATTATCGACGTTGTTCTTGGCCCAATTTGCTTCCAGTGCCAACCCAAAACGGCACTTCAGCTACCTGACCAGCGTGAAGCAGAACTCCAAGGAAACCCTCAATCAATTCTTAAAAAGATGGAGGGACAAAACTCTGACAGTTGGAAATATGACGGATGATACCGCCATCACCCTATTCACAAACGCTCTCCGAACGGCAGAACTATACAAGGATTTGAAGAAGAATCCAGGTACAGCGTATGCCGAGGTGTTAGACAGAGCTCGCAAGCATGCTGCCATGGAAGAAGAGATTATGATCAGGGACAAGGTCGCTGCGCCTACTGCCCCAATCAAGATGGCCAATCGGATGGGTCCTACCCCAGTGGCCGCTCTCCCTCCTAAGCAAGGGCGATTTACTTCCCTGGTCTTGTCCGTGACAACCATTTATCAGAACGAGAAGGACAACATTCCCCTTCCGACTGATTCTTCACAGTATATGGGAGCAGACTAGTCTGCTTTTTGTAAATATCATAACAGGAAAGGTCATGCCACCAACGCTTGTAGGGCACTACAAACGGCTATTGAGGACTTGATCCGGCGGGGTCATCTGGGCAAGTATGTGAGTAAGGACCCAAGTGCGGTAGGCACTTTAAAACCGATCAGGAAACCCAACAGCCGGCGACGGGATGCCCAACGTGATGCCCAGCCCCAGAATGACGTATATATTCCCCCCAGGGATGAACCAGAGGGCTCGGGAGGCCTCGGAAAGAAACCTTGAATGGAGGTCAAGGTTATATTTGGGGGCGGGGAAACAGGGGATTCGAACGCCGAACGGAAAAGGTTCGAGCGAAGTCTTTATGTAGGATCCATCTCCACCCCCCAGAAGAAAGGAAGGACGGACCCGATCACGTTCGGGGCGGCTGATTTACCCAACTCGCCAAGCCCGCACAGGGATGAATTGGTGGTGAGCATGTGCATTGACAATGCTTTGATTCGCCGGGTACTGATCGATACCGGGAGCAGTGTGAATGTATTGTACTTACAATCATTCGAGAAAATGGGCCTACAGAGAAGTCAATTGACCCACCTAAGAACCCCGCTGGCGAGCTTCACCAGTACCTGTATTGAGGCTGAGGGGACCATCCAATTGTTAGTTGAAATTGGGGACGAAATGCACAAGACATCACTCCGAATGACGTTCGTGGTGGTGGAAATAAATGTGCCCAT